GAAAACAAAATAAAGATTTTTTTTCAGAAAAACAAAAAATAAGAGTAATCATTACTATCAGACATGCACTACAAGAAATGTTAAAGGAAGTTCCTCAGTCAGGAATGAAACAGACAGAAACCTGAATAAACACAAATAAATGAAGGTCTCTAGAAATGGCATAATGAAAGTAAATATATAAATATATAATTCAGTTTTTATTATTTTTAGTTGCTCTAAAAGATTATTCGAAGGTAAGCTGAATAACTTAAGAGGTATATTGAAAACCCTGAAGAGATCACTAAATCTTTTTAAGAGGTAACTTTTTTAAGACTTCTGTGATGGCCACTAATAATCTCACTTTGGTATTCACATCCTCATGTAATTGCTCCCCTCTAAATACAGGAAGAACCTGTATAAACTAATAAAACTTAACAAAAGTGATGGAATTATCACTTCTGATAGTCTATAAAAGACTGTGACTTTCTCAGACAGAAAAAGACAAGTAACATATGATATCACTTATACTGGAATCTTAAGAAAAACACAAATTCTATTTACAAACCAAAAACAGACTCACAGACATAGAAAACAAACTATGGTTACCAAAGGGGAAAAGGTGAGGGAGGGATAAATGAGGAGTTTGGGATTAGCAGATACACATTAGTATATATACAAAAGATAAATGACAAGGACTTACCATATAGCATGGGGAACTATATTCACTTCTCGTAATAATGGAATGTAATGGAAAAGAATCTGAAAAAATATGTATGTCTGTATATGTATAACTGAATTGTTTTGCTGTACACCTGAAACTAACATTAAATCAACTACACTTCAATAAAATTAAAATTAAAAATAGACCGTGACGTCCACATTGCTAGCAGTTTTCACTGTTTTGGAGAGACCTATATGGCAAGAAACTCAGGGTGACCATAAGCCAACAGCTAGCAAGGAACCAAATGCTGCCAGTAACCAATGAGCGAACTTAAAAGCAGATCTTTCTCCAGCTGAGACTTCAGATAAGACCACAGAAGCTGAGCTGACACTCTGCAGTCTTGAGAGAGACCACGAAATGGAGGATTCAGTTCAGCTGTGTCTATATTCCTGACCCACAGAAATTGTGAGATTATGAATGTGTGTGTTGTTAAGCCACAAAATTTGGGGGTAATCTGCTGTGTAGCCATGGACAACTAATACTTAAGCCAATAGTTGAGATAAAATGGAATAATAAAAAACACTCAACCCAAAAGAAAACAGAAAGAGAGCCAAAAGAGAGAACCAATAGGAAATAGCTACCTTCATGGTGGGCTTTAGCCTAAACGTATTAGTAACTGTATTTATTCTAAATGGTCTAAACAAACCAACTAAAAGACAAAACTCGACACAACATTGTAAAATGACTGTAACTTAGTAGAAATGTTAAAAATAATAATAAATAAATAAAAGACAAAACTTGTCAAGTTGGATTAGAAAAAACAATTATAGGCTTTCTACAAAATTACACTTTAAATTTAACATGGGACACGTTAAAAGTAACAGGGTGGGGAAAAAATATACCACGCAGTGCTAATCAAAATAAGGCTGATGTAGCTATGTTAACACAAAGTACACTTCAGAACAAGGAATATTACTGGAAATAAAGACATTACCTAATAATAAAGTTATCAGTCAACTTTTATCAGAGGTCATTACAGTTCTCAACGTGTATGCACCCAGTAATATTCCATGAGAACAGCATTACCCTGATACCAAAACCACACAAAACACTGCAATAAGAGAAAGTTACAGACCTATAACCATCACAAACATAAAGGCAAAATTCCTCAACAGAACTGTATCAAGTCAGTTCCAACAATATAGAGAAAAGAATATTATGTCATATCCAAGCAGAGTTTATCTCAGGAATGCAAGGTCTGCTCAACACTGACATTAAATCAATGGAACTCACCTTAGTGTAGCTGTGTGCACTTCTCTCAAGCCCCCACCCCTTCCTCAATCACTGCCAGCCCCTGATCTATTTTCTATTTCTGTAATTTTCCCATTTCAAGAATGCTAAAGAAATGGAATAATATAGTATATGACCTCTTGGGACTTGGTTTTTTCCACTCAGCATAATTCTCTGGAGATTCATCCAGGTGGTTGCATGTGTCAATAGTTTGTTCCTTTGTATTAATGAGCAGTATTCCACACTTTGTTTGGTTATTCACCCACTGAAGGACATCTGGGTTATTTTCAGGTTTTGATTATTACAAATAAAGCTGCTATAATTATTCATGTATAGTTTTTTATTCTAATTTGATGAAATCAAACTCACCCACTTTGAACTTCGGGTAATCCTGCCATGAAGACTTTCTTCTATATTTTCTTCTAAACATTTTATGGTTTCACATTTTACTTTTAGATCGATGATCCATTTTGAGCTGTTCTTTTATATAAGGTGTGAGGTTTAGGTAGAAGTTAGTATTTTTTTGCACAGGGATAACCGATTGGTTCAGCACCATTTATTAAAGGGACTATCCTTTCTTCACTGAACTGCCATTGCACACTTCCTTTGTAAAATATCAATTGAGACTTACGCTTCCAGGACGATGAAGTAGACAATCTCCCCCTGTACCGAGGTGCCCCAGCACCCTCAATGGGGTGATGTCAGAAAATGCCAAGTAGGGAGCCAAGATTGTCAACCCCACTGACAAGTAATGAGACTTCTCTCTCCTTCCAAACCCGCTGCCCCCACTTCCATCTCTGATACAGGACATACAGTTTCTTACTATCCTCTCTGTAGGGTGTTACTACAACATAGCAGTAACCGGCCAACTGAGCTACGTTCGAAGGCATTACTTGCCGCGTATCTCGCAAATGCTTGGATCATCACACCTGCAAAGACATCCCACTCCACTGGAAGGTTTTCCAAGTGACCTCAGGTGAGATCTTTAAGAACAGGACCGCCACCATGTGCCAGGGACTATCCATACAGCACATGCCGCCCAACAAGGTATCTTGTTGCCAGACGGCTGGTAAGTACACCACCGCAGTGCCCCATCTTACTGCCTGCTCTGTCAGACCCTCCTGACATCACTTGTGTTCATTTGAGTCCTCTCAGAAACAGATGCTAAGGGGGAATTAGATGTGCAGGTATTCACTGGAGAGATGCCTACGAGAGAAAACTGCGAGAGAGCAAGGGGGGCCGGGAGAGCCACCCCACCATGATGGAGGACTGACCTCTGCAGGGGGGAGAGGAAAGGAAAGACAGTTGGGTAGGAAAAGTCTTACACACTCTCGGCTGTGGTTCTAAGAAAGTTTCCACAAGGCAAGTGGGGAGTCTTCAAGGCCTGTCTCACAGAAACGTGCCTGCATTAATATCCCCACCATGCTTAATCACTGGCCGGGGGCCACCAGTTGGGAAGGAGGGCCTCACACAAACGCAGCAGTCGGTTCACAGTGCAGTACAGGTGGGCCGTCAGTCCATCGTGTCCCCTGTGGTAGGAAGTCTGAGAAGCAAATTTATACAGTTTCCTGAAGTAGGCGCTAGGGATGCCGCCGCAGCGGCACAGCCTGCTGTCAGGCATCCTCCCCGTAATAAATGCTGCACTAGTATGTTTCCACTTCCACTCCCACAGGCCTGGCTCCCAAACTCAAAGCTCATCTCTCACCATTGTGTTATAAACCAACTCTCAAAGACTCTTAGGTTACCCAAAACTTTTCCCAAATTTTAACCTTTCTTCAGTTTACGCCAGATGGGAAAATAACCTGGATTTTAGTTAGCTTGTTTGGTAAAAGATCCCATTGGTTTTTCTTCATAATTCTAAAAACTCACGTACAATCTTTCAGGTGGCTGGAATAAATGGCTGAGTAATATTCTGAAGTATTGACATGTTTCTCCTCTATTCTGTAGTCACCAAATCCTTAATTTGAACCACTTAAAGATCTCTTCCCTCTCCACCCTGCACAGCTAAGCATTAAACACCCACTGCAGACCCCAAAACAAAAGTTGCAAATACTGGACTACTGGGCTAAAATAAAATGCCTTTGGTCTAGCGGGGAGGGTATAGCTCAGTGGTAGACTGCGTGCTTAGCATGCACAAGGTCCAGGGTTCAATCCTCAGTACCTCCACTAAAAAATAGATAAATAAATAATTTTTTTAATTTAAAACCTAATTACCTCCTCCCTCATAAAAAACAAGCAAACAAACAAAAATTGCCTTTGGTCTAAGCAGAAGAAAGGAAGAGTCACGTACATATTTGGCAAGTGAGTGCTCCTACTCACGCAGATTGGACAAAAGAGACTCTGGGCTAGAGATGAAGGAAAGTCAGGACCTCTGAGTCACGTGGGGTCATTTAATGCAGGCATCATGAACCCCTTCTGGAACTACAGAACCAAAAATCAACTACAGTTGATATTCAGTGACGTGTCAGCAAAGAACAGCTGTATTATATTTATTATATTCTATTCAACAAAAGAGACATTTAATATATTTTCACCAGAACTTATTAAATAAAAATTTAAAGAGATAGAGGAAATATCTAGAGTTTGAATAAATTTACTAACTTTCTCAAAGTAAGAAAAGATGGCTCAAATAACTATTAGTTTAAACATCCAAAATAATTGTTACTATGTAAATGATAGGTTTTGACCATAAAGTAACTGAGAAATTTAGAAAAAGTGAGGAAGCCAAAAATAATTTAAGTGAATCCAAATTCAACTTCAAACAGTTAAATCTATATGAAGGGATGAATAAAGAGGCAGCTGCAGACTCATTAATAAGAGGGGAAAGTTGGCGTTTTAAATGCATGCAATTATACTGATATGCTAATATAAATTTTATGTAAAATATTAATTTGAACAAGTGTGGAATAGTATTCATTCTAGAAATAACAACTGTATGCATATGAATAATATTTAACTAAAATTTTTATTAATTTGCAAAGAAATTTATAAAGAATTTATAAAGAATAAAGAACTACTAATTTATAAAGAATGTAGTTTTTTTCTATTCAACAATTAAAGTCCCAATTCCAACAAAACACACCAAAATTAATACATAAATATGATTCAATAAAGTTTCATCTTTAAATTCTTCAAAATCTTCTTTGGTAAACAGATCCAAAGATAGGTTAATCCTACATAAAAGATGACAAAATTGAATCTTATTAATATGTCATAATCAGTAGTCACTGAAAAGTTTTAACATTTCTAAGACTGCAAAGTAACAGTTAGCCACTTCCTGCATTCACTGCTTTGATAACTTACTTTGTCTAGTTGCCCAAGAAAAGCTTCTGATGGACTCACTGTGTAACTCATACTTCTCTTCTCCACTCCAACTCCTCCTGCCAATATCCTTGGTGCCTTCAACAGTCCCAATTACAAGAACGGTGTCACAAAAACACTACACCACAGGCCTTTACTCCAGGCCACCTCAGCCTCCCACAAGCAAGGTCATCGCGTGGACACCGTCATCACGTGGACCTTGTGCTTTACTTCTAAGTGCAGGAACCTCAAAGTGTGCTCAGCTGGTGTGTCTCTATACTCCTACTTTCTGTACCCCTGACTGTCCCTGAGCAAGGTCACTGCCCTCCTTTCAACTGCCAGTCCCTTGATCTCACTTGCGTCCCCCTCAGCCCTACAATTATTTCTCTCAGTCCTCCTAATAAAGCCCTGAAGCCCCTCTTTGAGGGATTGAGACCTCCTTCTCATTGCAGACATTGCCTGACATTCTGTCCTCAGTCCTCTCCTCTCCCTCCATCCTCACTACATCCACTAGAACCACACATGACCTTTATGTAGCATAGACAGCACACTGGCTCCACTGTGACTTCCAATTGCTTGGAATTTTCACCTGAGTAAAATTACCTAAAATTTACACACCAAAATAAAACTCAGTAACTTCACAAAACCAGCTCTTTCTCTTGACTTCCTTATTTCTTAGGTACTCATTCTCCAACCTCAGTATCATCTCTCTTCTTCCCCTACATCTAGTCACCTGTCTCCTCTCCACTCTCAGTAAGTGCATTTCACTTCTCACTTGGACAGCTGCTACAATCCCCAGATTTTCTTTTTCACTTCTTGTCTGGTCTCTGTCCCAAACCATTTCACAAAATGACATTTGATTCTTTTGAAAACACAGATCTGATCAACCCACCGCTTTAAAATGTTCCATGTACAAGAGGTTTGCATAGTCTCTTATCTTTTCATAAAATACTTATTACTTATAAAAAGAAAAATAGTGTAGTGGAGAAACGGACATCTTAACCAATATCAAAGTTAACATCATCAATAAGGGATAAATGAAGATCACATGAATCCGGATGTGAGCTTCTGAGAAAGAAATGACACGAATGCTTATGTAACGTTCCAGTCAAAATGCAAAATACGAATCAAGTCATGAGAAGATATCAGCAAGTCCGGAGGGAGCATGAAAAATTACTGGCCTACATTCTTCCAATATGTCATTATCATAAAAAACAAAGGAAGGCTGAAGAACTGTACAGATTAAAGAAGACTAAAGACACATGACAATGAAATGCAGTATATGATCCTCAACCAGACCTGGTTATCAGAAGAAATATCCCATTAAAGAAATTATTATCACCATTGAAAAAAATTGGAATATGGAATATAGGTTAAAGTTTTAGAAAAATATTAAATTTCCTGAATTTGGCAACTGTAGTGTGGTTATTAAAAAAATCTTTGTTCTTAGGATACACACACCAAAGTATCAGGGGGCAATACTTTACACACACACACACACACACACACAAACACACAGAGAGAGGGAGAGAGGGAGAGAGAGGAGCAGGAGAAAGATAAAGCAAATGTAAACACCGGTAAGCCTAGGTGAGGGGTACTCTGGAGTTCTGTGCATTTTCCCTGCAATCTTTCTGTACATTTGAAATCATTTGGAATAAAGGGTTAAGGAAATGTTCCATGTTTCTTCACTGCCTACTAAACTGAGCATAAACTCTTGGCCAAATATTCACGTGCGACCATTTGAAATAGTCTCAGTGTATACCTTTCTTTACTATGACTCCCTTAAACAAGCTTTAATCAAATGGTGCATTCCTAAACATTTTCTTGGACTCCATGAATATGCTCATGTCCGTGTCTAAAGTACACGCCCTTCCCCCATATTCCCACTTATAAAAATCTAATTTCTCGTTTCCAAGGCCCTCCTTACTTACCTTTTCTACTACGTTCCAAACCCCACCACACTGGGTGTAACCTATCCATAAGAACGGGATGAACCCAGGTGATTAGTAAACCAGGGCACAGTTGGAAAAAAAGGGAGGGGGAGGAGTTGATATGCTCAGTTTAAAACATGGTGGTGTTTAAAAGTAACTGTAGAGGGAACTATATTCAATATCTTGTAATAACCTTTAATGAAAAAGAATATTAAAATGAATATATGTAAGTATATGCATGACTGGGACATTGTGCTGTACACCAGAAATTGACACATTGTAACTAACTGTATTTCAATTTGAAAAAAAAAAGTAACTGTAGAACTGCCTAAAGGAATTCAGAGGTACACGACCAGAGGTCAGAAGTAGAATAGAGATTTAAGGGTCATAACGCCAAGAAAGAGGAACTAAAGCTATAAAGTGGGTGAGTGATCTCAGAGTAAATATGTAGAGACAGAGTCGGACCAACAATTACTCCCAGGGCAGCATTTGCTGTTATTAGATGGTAGCAAAAGGGGCAAATTAAAAATACACAGAAAATAGGGGCTCACAGTCTTTAAGGCATGAGCCTGCTATGTCTCCCTTTGCCTGGCAAAGCAATAAAGCTTTTCCTTTCTATCCTACAAAAAAAAAAAAAATACACAGAAAATACAGTCAGAAAGGCAGGGAGAGGACCATGACATAGTCTTCAGAACAATAAGAAAGAAGGAAAATTAAAGGAGTAGTAGTAATAGAATATTAAATGTGACAGCGTGTTCAGAAAGAAGAAAGAAAAAAGAAAAAAACAAAAAACGTGGACCATGGAGACAGAAGTTTCAATAGCACTGTGAAGATGGGCCCAAAAAGAGTGTATTAAATTTCAACAAGTATTGAGTAAGTGCCTTCTGTGTGCCAAGCACTGGGTTTAAGGAAGGAAACGGGCTGGAATTAGCAATGGGTATGCAGTAAAGATTGGAGACGGTAGGATGTAAAAGGGAAGGAAGAAGTCTACCCTTTTTAATAGTTATCTAAATGGATTCTTACCAGAGGATTTCAAGAAGGTTCATCCTGTGTAATCCGAGTCTAGGAACAACATAAAATGTAAGGAAAATTCAAATTAGTCTTTGGCACTGGTTTTCTCATTAATAAATATATATTGATGAATAAGAGTTATAATACATTTTAAAAATATAATCATTAGTTTTTATAATATGGCTTAAAATTGCAATTAAAAAAGGATTTACGTTACCTTTTGTTTATAAGAGGGTATTTCTAGAAAACACAGCATATTATTTTAAGTTATTTAAATCCTTAGGTCATTTGATGTTTAGCAGAAGGCCTACTGCTGAGGCACAAGAGAACCCGACAAGCTCAAGATTATGGCTAGAGCAAAATCAGACGTAATCTAGTATGTTTATTCAAGTAATTGCATCTGGATTAACACTCAGAAAAAAAGTTTGGGTTTTTTGCACATTTCTCTGTCTATTCAAACGTCCTTTTCACCTATGAAACCACTGGCTACTTTTTCCCTCCTAAGTCCCTCTCCTGCCTCATTCTTCTTCCTAATTGGATGAGAAAAGTAAAGCAGAGCACCACTAATGTGAATATTAGTTTATATGCCATTATTGCAAACAATGTGTGTTATTACTGATGCAATATTACAGGAAGAGTGATGAGGTTCCAGTGTTAGACGGCTCACAAAACCCGGCAATCTGTTCTGCTTATTATCTTATGAAAATATTCTTCACAAAATCTAATTCTGCAGATTTACTCTCTGTCAAAATAAAACTTGTCATTGAATGACTGCACTAAAAACTTACAGAAGCACGATAACATATATATTAGGATAGGCATAGGAAGGAAAGAAAACAACTTATGATTCACCAATTTATGTGGCATTATTAGTTACATAAGTTTTATCCAACTTAACTGTTTGAGAATCCAGAACTTTCAACCACTTTAATAAACACACTAGATCACATCCAATTTTGCTCTGGCCACAATATCAACTCAATACTGATGCAGCTTTAGAACATGTTTTGATTTATGAGTTGTTTTCCAGGAATGAAATAATGACATCAGGGCCATAATTCAAGGGCAGATTTTGTTAAATGCACTAGATTGGACAGCAGCATCACGAAAAGGAAGTGGAAGTACAAAGCAACACAAAATGTACACTTCTAGAATGCAGATTAAATGTTTTTCTTCATCAATATGGATGAGTTTTGTAATCTGCATTAAAAAGTTGGCATCAAATTCAGATTTAATACACAAGCACGTTCCCTTCGCTTGGTGAGGTCCAGTCAACATGCACCCCTGCACCCTCTCACTCATACCCACACCTGCAGTCCACTCCTCACTCACAGCTCCACAATGCTCTGTACTTTCTTTTTTTTTTAATTAAAGTATAGTTGATTTACAGTGTTGTGTTAGTTTCTGGTGTACAGCATAGAGATTCAGTTTTATATACATATGTATGTGCATATATACATTCTTTTTCATTATAGGTTATTACAACATGTTGAATACAGTTCCCTGTGCTCTACAGTAGGATCTTGCTGTTTATCTATTTTATATACAGGAGTTAGTATCTGCAAATCCCAAGTTCCTAATTGACCCCTCCCCTCGCTTTTCCTTTTGGTAAGCGTAAGTTTGTATTCTATGTCTGTGAGTCTGTTTCTGTTTAGTAAATAAGTTCATTTATGTCATTTTTCAGATTCCACACGTAAGTGACATCATCAACTATGGCGAACAGTGATAATATGGTAGCCTTGTTTCTACAGCTCTATACATTGAACGTGACGATTAGGAAAACTACTGATCTAACGTGATCCAAGGGTAACTAAACTGTTAGAGAAGCCAGTCTTCTTTAATACAATAAAAATTGTGTTCACTTACTTCCACCAGATAATTGTTGAGATTTCAGCCTGAGTCTATATTTTTCATTTTCTTCAAGCATTTTACAAATGACTTTGTACACTCCATTCCACACTGAAGCCTTAAAAAGATAAGCATAGTTAAGGAACACTGAGCAGAGTACCAAGGAATACATTTCGATACAGTCAACTGTGCTGCATGCCAATTTGGTATTATCATTATAAAGCAATCTTACACTTAGAGACTAAAACTTAAACATAACTGTTTTCCCATGATCACTGAATTCTCTGATATCTTTTTCCAACTTCCGAGCATTTCCTCTCTGTAGTATTTAAATTAACTGTCCTGGATGAAGTCTTCCTTCAAAGGCAATGTCCATAATGTCCTGTGGTTTCAACATATTCACTTTTGTTTTGAAAGGTAATAAAGATAGTGAGTTTCTATTCATTTGTCTAAACCACTGGGCAGTGATTTATTTGTGTATTTTATTCCAGTTAATTTTTAACCTTTCTCCTAGGACACACCAAAGCAAACGCACTAGAGAGCATGAATATACTTGAAGAGGAAGAACACGGACCATGCAAGCAAACAAATAGATTCGGGCTCAAATTCTGGCTTTGCCACTTAAACCAGTCGCTTGACACTGGGCGAGTGTTCTGATCTCATCTAGGAACGACTTCACACGTTGGGTTATTAGAAGGAATGAAAAGTATATGTAAACCACTTACCCCACTGTCCGTTTGGCACACAGTAGGTGTAAGTATATACTGGCTATTGCCCAAGCGGAACTGGTTCTTGAAAGATTTCTCAGTATAATGGGAAGGTTAAATGCCCCCACTCAAAGCACACCTGCTGCAAGGCTTAGTCACTTGGAACGCTGTTTGACATTACACATGGATTAGAAATCACACTCAAAGCTCAGAAACAATATGGTTTCATGGGCTGCTTTCAACTAACAATTTCTCTAACCTGAAGAGTAAAATACATGGCGGGAAACAAAGATTAGTAGAGCAGCTGAGCTTGAATATGTTTAAACCATTCCAGTTACCATGGCATCTGGACAACCAGAGATGAAAATAGAAAATGGTTCATTATAAAGGTTCACGCTTGTCAGCTTTTCTGCTTGAAACTTAACGCACATCCCTTGCCTTTAAAAGAGCAATGTGACACCAATACGGATACATTATTCTTCTCTGTGAAATCCATGATTTTCTTATGTTACACTATCAGTTTGTTATATTCTATGGGACATGTATTTTCATGCTTTGAAAAAGCTCCCAGTCGGTTACATTTTGGTTAAAATTGTTTTATATCTTCAAACACTGGAAAGACTATGGCATTACTTTTCCTGTCCTGAGTATCTTCACACCTTTGTATTTAAACAGGTTAATCTAAAATTCAAAATATCACTTATTCCCCTTTACAATAATATACCTTTTTCTTTTTCTTCATTATTTTGGAAGCTTCATTCAAAGGTATGGGGAAGTCAAACTTTTTAGCCAAATCCTCCTGAGTTAAACCTAATTTTAAAAGAGGAGATTGACAAGGTAACATATCAAGGTTAGCACATACTTTAAAGGACTCACTATCCTGAGAGTAGACAATTATAAATGTCTCTTGAGTTCTATTTTGAACCTCTTCGTCTGTTTTTCAAAGCGCTTCATTTCCAATCCACTGTCTTAGTGCTGGACTGTCACATGTCTCTTTGATCTGTCTGTGTTAATGCAATCAGGCTTTTTACCCGATGCATTTTATTCTTTCCTTACTTCCTGCTCTCTCTGCTTTAAAGTTGAAGAGTTCACCACCACCACCGCCACCACCACACTCTGTCCAATTCCTAGAATAAATCTTTCATCTGTTCTTGTTATTCAAAGGAGCTGGAAACCTAGTGCTAAGGTGTCTCGTGCTACCCCTGAATTTTTAAATCAGCAGCATAGCGGCAAAAAAACAAACAAACCAACCAACCTTGAGCGCCTTTTAACTATGGAATCTTTGGAGTGGTATGAAGTCTAAAACAGCGCCCCTGATGAAGAATCTCTGAAGGCTTCCCACCATAGCTCACTCCCAGGAGCCAATCAAGTTACACAGAGTACAGCTTTACACTTCTAAATTATCCAACTAAATGTAAGTAAGTTAAATTATCAAAGTAAAATTCAGTAAGTTCTGAAAGGATACCAAACAAAATATTTATATATTTCTTAACTTGGACTCGAGTCTTGTCTGCCTCCAATTTATCTCCGGTACACAGCGTGAACTAAATAAATCTTCCCCATCACTTCTCTTGTTCGAAACCTTTCAATGCAGAATTTCTGGGTAGCTGAACACAATGCCCAGTGGGGTAACCAACTTCCCAAATTTCTCCCCAAACAACTTTACATTACAAAAATTCTACAGAAAACCACACACTCTGTATTACTTGAAAACAGAGAACGCTGAAACTGCAAAATAAACTAAGCAAAATGAGAAAAGTTGTTAAACTGCGGTACTATGATCCCATCTGCTCCAACATCACCCTAAGCAGGGCTTTGCAGCCAGCAGGGGAGAGAAAGGAAGGAACCTAGAAAAGGTGCCTGCAGGAGAGCTGGAGCAACCAACAGAAAGATTAAATTCACCCTAAATGTGAAAATACTAAAGCATAACCAGGCAGATCTCAACACAGACTACCAGGAGCATTTCAATGTGCAATTTAAAAGGCGAGATACCACATAAAGCACCAAAAGCATGCAATTTAATGGAACCAACTTGATTAAGGTAGCATGCATGATTTAAAGGGACAAGTATGACTTAAACGGACAGTCTTCTAATCTCATGGCTTTTAGAGAAGAAAAAGAACAAAAAGGAAAGCTCATAAATTAGGTCACAAAGAAAACATCGGTAAGATATATAAAGTGGAGACATTACAAACAACACTCTGAGCACAATGCAAGAAAACTAGAGTTTACTAGCCAAAAAAAAAAAAAAAAAAAAAAAAGAAAGAGAAAAAGGAAAGGAAAGAAAAGAAAAAAGAAAAGAAAGTCCTGGAAATTAAAAAATTAAATCTATTTAGCAACTCTAGATTCAAAGCGGTAATACAAACTGAAATTACAAAAATAAATTTAATAGTGACAATAAAACACTACATATTAAAATCTATGGAATCTAAAGTAGTGGTTAGAAAAAAAATTCCTTGCACTAAACACTGTTATCAATAAAAAGGAAGAAAAAATAAATGAGTTAAAAATCTTGCTCAAAATGAAAGCATAAAAATAACAAAATAAACCAAAAGAAAACACATAAGGAAATATTTTATCTGTAGTATATATCTTTATTTATTATTTTCTTTATATCTTTAGTATTTATTATCTAGTCTAGGAGTCTAGAGAAACAAAATACCTAATTAACAAACAAAATTCCTGAATTTAAAAAAATTAATAAAATAAAACATTGGCTAACTTGATCAAGAAAAAGAAGAAAACACATATATGAAAAGAAAAGGGTGAAATAACGATTGAAACACAAGAAATTTTTAAAAATCATAAGACACTAATTTGCAGACCTCTATGCAAATAAATGTTTAAAAATCTACATGAAATGGATAATTTCCTAAGAAAATACAGGTTACCAAAATTGACCCATTAGAGTTAGAAAGTATGAAGGGACCAATTTCCATAGAAGTTACAGAGAAAATTATTAAGGAATTAGCCCATAAAAAGCACTAGACCCAGATGGTTTCACAGAAGAATTCTACCACATCTTCAAATATCAGATAGTCCCAATGTTCTCTAAATTATTCCAGAACATTGAAAAGAAAGGAAAAATTCTTAATTCCTTTTATGAACTAAATATAACTGACACCTAAGTCAGATGAAGTACAAAGAAAAACTATAGATAAATCTTTCAAACACCAATGCAAAAATCCTAAATAAATTATTAGCAGAGTCCAACAATGTTAAGAAAATAGTACATCATAACCACATGGGATATATTTCAGGAAGGCAAAGTTGGTTCAAGCTTAGGAAATCCACCTGTATCATATACCATATTAATAAATCTAATGGAAAATATATCTCCACAGATCTAAGAAAGCCTCTGACAAAATTCAACACCCATTCATGATAAAAACACGAAAGAAAATAAAAATTGAGGAATACAGTTTAATGTTTTAAATATATATGCTTTAGTCTTAAAGCCAATACCTTATTTAATGGGAAAATACTAGAAGCATTTCTTATAAGACAGAACCAGAAACAAGGCAAGGATGCTATCTCCACTACAATTCAACATTATACTCATAGTATTAGCCAACGCAGTTAGACAAACAAGTCAATTGGAGGCAGAAAAACGGGTTAAAAAGAAATAAAGTGATCCATTTACAAATAATATACCTGGAAAATCTTGAGTATCAATGATAAAACTAACCCAAATACTAAAAGAATTCAGCGAAGTCCTGGGATCAGAAATTAACATAAAAACCCCAATAGGCTAACTGAAAGAAGCCAGTCACAAAAGCCCACATATTGTATGATTCCATTTATACTAAGTATCCAGAATCGGCAAATCTACGGAGACAGAAAGTAGTTCAGTGTTCGTTTACAGCTGAGGTTGAGGGGAGGGGAGGGCAGTGACAGGGGATGGTGAGTGACTAATGGTCACAGGATTTCTTTTGGGGAGGTAGTAAAAATGTTCTAAATTGACTGCGATGATGGTAGCACAACACTGTAAAAACCACTGAATTATCTACTTGGGTAAACTGAGTGGACTGTGAACTATATCTCAATAAACTATTAATTTTTTTTAAGCATGGGTAGAGGAAAGGACTTTTTGAGTTGATGGAAATGTTTTAGATCCTGATTGTGGTGGGATACTACCAGGTGGATAACTTTCTCAAATCTCCTCAACATTGTTATTGCTGTTGTTTTATCAAGACGCTTTATATACACAATTAATGAACATTTGGAGGACATTATGCAAGAGGGAAACCCCATGTACAGCAGCAGAGAAGATCAACTACCTAGGAATAAATTTACACAATATACAAAAAATCCTACAGGATATGGAGGCATAGCTCAGTGGGAGTGTGTGTGCTTAGCATGTGCAAGGTCCTGGGTTCATCCGCCGGTACCTCTATTAAAAAAAAGAAAAAAAAAGAAAAGAGAAAGTACTTTCCTCAAATAATAAAAAGTAAGTACCCCCTTCCCCAAATCTGACAAATATAAAAACGACAACAGAATATTACAGGAATTCCTCCTAGATTCAAAACAAGACTTAGGTGCTAAAATAAAATAAAACTATTTTAAAAACTTATAGAAAGAAACTTTTAAAATATAAAACATCTCTGAGAGACACAAAAGTAGAGAGAAAATGGAAAGACGTCGTCTCCCGTTCTCAAAGAGGAGATGACATCATTTTGACGACGCCGGTTCTCCTCGGGCTAACTTGTAAACTCAGTGACTCCTGAAAGGCACATGGACAAGCAAGCCGAGGCCCCCCTCACTCTGAGGGGCTGCAGGGACCCCATCCAACAGCCTCTCGTCTCAGATTCCGACCTCAGGGCTGTTTCGGGTCTTCCCGTGCAGGCGGCGCCCTCCGGGGCAGCCCCGAAGCGCGGGCCCGGCCCGGTCCCTCCGTCCAGGC